GGGAAGGCATCGTGATCCTTTCAGACCAGGTAATCACCCAGCTGAATGCAACTACAAGCATGGGCCTAGGCAACATCAGCAGGGAACCCCCATGGAACCCACACAACTGTGAAATACTAAATTTCTCTCATGTCAGGCCTCTGAGGTTTGTTCCACAGCAAAGGCTACCTGAAATAGAGATCTACGTGTCACCACTAAATACTCAAAAGATATATTTATAATATAACCTCCTCAAGATCTGAAAGGCTGGGTATGATTTCTTGAGAAATGAACTCCTGGAAGCAACCCATATAGGCCCGCAGAGAAGGCTTGGGCCTTCCAGCAGGGACTTTCAGGATATAGAAGGAGAGGGCTGTTGACTTGGCCCCAGAGACTCCTTGCTAGGGGAGCTGCATGGCCAGAGGAGGACAGAGAAGGTCACGGAAAAGGGGGGGGGCAGGGTTTCCTCACTGAGGTCGAAGAGCAGAACTGAGTGTAAGTTAACAGGAAGACACGCCAGACTGAACAACACTTTCCTGCCCTCACAAGCCCTCACACAATTACATATTGAAGAGTCCACAGCGCGTGTTTGTGCATTCCCAAATATGGATCATGGGCTTTAAAAAAAGAAATCTTTCATTACAAACTGAGAAGCTTCCAAAATCCCTAATACTGAGCTCCAGCTCTCTTCCAACTTCCCTACAATCGCTGGCTGCCACTCCAGCACAAAGATGTGCACCAACTGATTCTTTTTAAAGGCAGCCAATATTTTAATGACATTGGAAGGATGACATGCCGGGTCATTTTCATCCTTTAATGAATGCCAGGATACATTTCTGTTTGAAGTAATGAGAATCCAATGAGTTGTCAGCTAAATATGAATGAATTGCCCAAAAAAAGTCTTCTCTGCATACACTTAGACATGCATATTACCACTTGGTTGCATGCATGCTTCCGCCAGGGTTAAGAGTGACACGAGCCCTTTCCCTAGCCTGGACTTTCTATGAAAACTCCAAACAGCTTTTCTTCCTGGGTGAAGCTTCGACAGGATTTCAAATGCCCACCAACTTCAACCCACCACAAATAAAACGGCCAAAAACTGGTTTAGATGTTCGATAAAGTCAAAATGGACTTATTATCTCCCTCTTTGAGAGCTAACACGGTTGTGCCCATCACATTATCGCCAACTACTATTTGACCAGTGTTCATGAATATGCAAATATGCTAGCTAGGACACACAGCGTCTTCATTGCAGTTTCTTTACAGTTTTTCTGGCTGTGCAGCCACAGGAGGAATCTGCTATGTGACAGCTTGGGGCCGAGGATCAGGCAGGATCACTCCACACAACATTTACAGTCACACACCGGAACCCCGCAAGCATTTAGTCACATAAGCAGAGTCTTGGCGCCTTCCCAAATTTCCCCCCGCCGCACCATATATATGGTTTCCGCAGTATCCTCGCAGGTGCCCAGCAAAACTGCAAGGTCAGCCCTGACCTCAGTGTGCTATAGAGGGGGGAGGCATCGCTCACGCCAAATCTGGACGTAAGCCCACCCAGCGGGAAGCCAGTGTCAGCCTCCAGCCGCCCGGTTCATCATTCATCACTTGCAGCCAGGCTCAGGGCTGCATCTCCCGCGGGGAAATGTGACTTTGAGTTGCATGGGGCACAGTGGTCGAGACACCAAGAGCCCGCACCCCTACCCAGAGCCATGGGGCCAACCTGGGAGGCTTGCTGTAATAAAAGAATTCCTATGATGACGGAAATCGGTCACAGACCAGGCTGTTTCCCTCAAGTCCTCGCGTGTGAAGCCAATTACCACGCGCTCACCAACGAGTTGCTCTGGTAGCACAGACCGGCCTGTATTTGGTTTGGTTTAAGATAACTCAGGACTTAAGGGAGGTGCAGGTGATAAATCAAGAAAGGAAGAAGAATGAAATCATTAATAGTGATAAGATGGAGCATGGCCTCCGACTAAGCAACTGCGCTAGTCAGTCTTTTCAGGCAGGAGCACGCCACCTCAGACTCCGGAGCCAGCCCGCTGCGGCTCGGCTCCGACCCAGCAGCACCGCGTAGCTGCAAAGCCTCAGGCGGTTACCTAACTCCTCAGTGCTCTAGTCTGCTCACCGGTAACTTAGGGATGATGAGAGAACCCACAGGAGCTTCACGAGAAATAAGTGAGCAGGTACTTGTCAAGCTCTTGGACAGTTGTCAGGCAGTGTCATCTGAACGGGTTTCCAGACAAAGTACAGGACGGGCATTGAAATTCCGATTGTACATAAATGACTACTTTCGGAGTGTAGGTGCCGACTACTGCTGGGACACACTAGCCCAAAAAAAAAAAAAAAAGAAAGAAAGAAACTGGTGCTGCACGGCTGCAGTTCAGATGTAATTGCGTAGCTGACTGGCCGCAGTCACAAACTTTGCTGTAACAGCCCCACAGGCACGACACTGAAAATCTTGAGGCCAGATATGTTTCTGAGCTCATAGATTTTCAGATTTTCGAAAAGTAACACAACACTTCTTCTACAGATGACAGGATTACTCCACAAAGCCTGGAGTGACACTCCGGAAGCCAGCGCATTACCAAATTGTGTGGGGATCGGCGCACAGTTCCATAGTGGGATAAACAGAGCCTAAAACTGCCTCCCCTAAGACCCAGCTTTGTCGTCACAGGACTCCAGGGAGGTCGCACCCCGTTTTGCCAGCTGAGAGTTCGGCTGCTCTCTGGTGGTGGTGAGGTAGAGCACTGTGGAACTGAATCACTGTCACTATTTTCTTCTAGTCTCACAACCGAATAAAAACTGAGATTCCCATTTTCCAGATGATCCCAGACTGAGGCTTCGGGTGATTCTGCACTCAGGCCCAGATCCTGCGGCCTGTCAGTGGCCAGATCAAGCTTCACGCCACTGTCCACCCTGCCCCCTCATTAGCATACCCTTTCCAGCTTTCCTTCTGTGCGGTCTTCCTCTAGCTGTGATCTTGAAAGAGAGGGCAGAAGAGGAGGACACGGAAAAGAGAAGGAAGGGGAGTTATGGAGAGGAGGCATCTCAGAAGCGTTCGGCACCTGCTCAGAAAAGGCCCAGAAAGCTGACAAGTACTTCCAGCTCCTCAACTTTCCAACACCCACAGACCGCCAGGCCTGCACCCTCCCCACGCCCCACCCGGAGTATAGTGAGCCTCACGTTATGCTACAGAGGACTGTATGGTGGTGAACCTTTTGCTACAGAAAGAGCAAAATCAATACTTTCTTAAACTTCATCAACAGTGAAAATTAAAAACAGAACAGCAAGGCCAAACACCCTTGCTGGCATGAAGCAACCTATTAAATGTCATTCTGTACGTATTACTCCTGTGTTATCATGACTCATAATAAAGTGACAGAACTCATGACGTGGGCCTGACTCCAAAAACTTGTCTGTACTCAAATTATAAATGTGTAAGTTCAAAAATCCCCAAGTTCACACCTGTACTGTCCTCCGCTAGCCCCATGTGGTGCCCAGGCCACGCCAGGTCCCACTCTCCCCACCTCAGGCTGGCAAGAAGGAAGCATCTGGGAATTGCCAAATTGTTCTCACTCTTCCGGGAAGGACACCAAGGGGCAGGATGTTGGGATAAGGGACCTGCAAATCTCGGGCCCTCACACTGAAGAGTAGTCGGAAGCTAGTAGCAGTGGCAAAACTGAGGTAACTTTCAGACTCATCTTTACCTTACGGTACCCAGTGACACACAGTCGAGACATTTCAAGGAAAATCTGACCTATAACATAGACTGGAAGGATCCCGGGGCACTGCTGGGGACAGAGAAGCATGAGGTCACAGAGGACCGGTGCTTAGATACGAATGGGCCAGACCACGGACCAGGAGACTCAGAGAGCTTCCTTCAGAGAAAAGGACTCCACATTCCCCTGAGGCCATAGGGAGGGTCTCCAGTGAGGCCCTGCTGTAACAGGGTGGTCCCTGGGAAAAAGGGAAGTTCCAGGTTCCCTGCCCCACCCAGAAGGAGGGTGGAGATGAGCAGAGAAAAAGAAGAAAAGAGAGAAGGAGAGAATGAAGCAAGATGGAGAAGGAGGAGACCTAAGGAAGCTACATGGAGCAGCAAGCATGTGATGAAGAAACCGGGCTTGTTTCCTGACCCGGGACTGGTTAAGGCAGATGTGGGTGAGATACCTGTAGGGAGGTGACTATGGCAGTGTTCATATTGATTGTGATTTTGCTCTTTTGCTCTCAGATTTGTCTGGCCATTTCTGACCCTTTTCCATGGGTCCGGGCCAGAAGGTGCTTTAGTCTTGTGGCAGGCTTTCAGGCCTTGCTTTGGGCCAGTCCCTTTTGGGTTGACTTTTGCCCACGAGGGGATGGGTCACTTCAGGTGTTTGATTTAGAAGTTATATTCTTTGTGTTCTGTATTGTATATTCACTGTATTAAAGTCCCTTTTCATTCAAGTTTTATATGTTTTGTCTTGTTGCGGCGGATGGCAGAACCCACTTAGAGCAGGCAGGTTTTTGGGGCTTCAGGAGTGCCCCTCTCTCCCCTGTCCTCTAACAGAATTGGGGTGCCCTATAACAGATTTTGTCCTATAACACTGCCAACCCCCAAGCCCCTTCCAGGTCCCTCAGAACTTGGAATACAGCACAGCCGCCTTGTGAGGAAACAAGAAAGGTAGCCCCACGGCTTCACATCCAGACTTGACAGTGAACTGAAAACTTGAATAAAATTGCATTTGGTACTTGGTAAACCTCAAGCAAACAGAACACTAAAAATACTACCTGTTTTTTCTTCCACTCCCCGAGGTACCATAATTATAACCTGACACAGGATGGAAAAGGGACTTACCAGCTTCGATGCACTCTGGCTTCAGGCAATATTCCTGTTTGGCTTGGAGACTTAAGAAACCTTGGCTCACTGAAAAAACAGACCAAAATAAAAAAATTACTGGCGTGCAGTAGGGCACCATCAGGTACCCCCTTCAGGAGCCGCTGCGGAGCATTGGGGTCAGGTGGCCCACTGCGGTCTTCACTGGAAACTCAAAACTCCAGCCGGCGAGGTGGCCCAGAAACAGACTCTGGTCACTAGCTTGATAACTGTGGTAGGACTCTGGGTTCTCTCATAGGGTCACAAGAATGGGGTATAAGTAGATCAAAGCTGCTCAGAGTGGGGGGCCATAGTTAGCCCAGCAGTGGCAACAGCAGCAGGTAGGGAGAAATGCAAATCACTGAACCCTGCCCAGCCCTCCCCCATCCAAGGGTGGGGCCCAGCCATTGTGTTTTAACCAGGCCTCCAGGTGATACTAGGGCGCACTCCAGTTTAAGAGTGACTGGCTAGCTCAGGTCTAATTTCACATACTGCTTACAGCTACCTTCTGATTTTAGAGGTGGGAAAACTAAAACCTATAAGCTATGTCATTTGGAGTCAACACAGTATGGAAGAAGAAAGCTAGAATGTGTGGAGCTCATCTAAACCACCCGCAAATACAGCTAAGGAGGGTTGGGGGAGGGTGAAAAGAGGCCACTCGTCACTGTCACTGCACCTCGGTCACTGAGCAAGAGCCACTATTACTGGCCTACCCCTCACCTCACACATCGTCCTCCACCGGGCTGCCCAGCTACCAGAGCTTCCAACTGTTTCCACCAAAGCAAACACTCAGCGAGATGCAAGAATCTCCTCACTAGCGCCTTCATCTCCCCCATTCTGTTGGTAACATCCCCCAAATATGTGACTGCGGAGAGCCAAGGGTGCCATATTTTACCACGCACCAGCAGACATGTGTGTCTTTCAAAAACACTTTCGGTGGCCAAGAAAGTGGCAGAGGGCACGTTGTGGCTGTTCTTTGCGAGCAGGAAGAAGGAATCATCCGGAGACTTGGCCGAGGGCGGGGAGGTGCTGGGGCTGAGGGGGCTGAGGCCTTTTGGGGCACCCTCAACCAAGACACGGCACCTCATAGCAAACTGGCACCTCGCATTCCGCTAGAGATGAAAGACTGGCAAGGCGCTGGCTTATATCGTTTACTGCCCCACATTCTCGAAGGAGTTCTGCTTTTCCTTTGTTCTTTTCTCTGCTGTCCTCCTTCAAACAGCCTTTTCACCTATGCTACATTGTAGATTCAAGAAAACTGCCAATGGGATCTCTGAGGCCTATTTTCAAAAAAAAAATCTTAGCATAAAGGTGTGTTTTGTTTCCTTTAAAAATGTTCAGTAAAAATAGACATGTACTGGCCCTCCCTGGTGGCGCAGCGGGTTAAAGCACAGCACTAAGAAGCTAAAGCCGCTTCCAAATGAGTTCGATTCCCGCCTGCCCTGGAGGTGCCCACATGGCGCGGCAGACCTCTCCTGACCCGCCCGCTGCTCCCCTCAGCAGTGTACTTCGTCAATCTGCCTGTTCTGCTCCCCACTCTGTCTCTGGTGAAGCCTCTCGCCGCCCCTGAGCCTCTGGCCTGTACCCCAGTTCTGTATGTACAAATAAATAAATCTTTAAAAAACAAATAGACATGTACAGTATAAAGATTAGTGGGATCACTTTGATGAATGTAGCGGGGTGACGGAGCCATGAAAAGAGAGGATCGTCCTTTCGGCCTATGGCTATCTTTACCCAATGTTCATGAATAGCCCTGCAGTAGTGTTTATAATAGAAAAATATACTACATCATAAACAACAATATTTTTATGATTCTGAGCAATACCTTCAGAATGCTAGCCTCCTTTTATTTTAAGGCAATAAAAGGACTGAAGCCTTAGTCTTCTGTGGAAAGTAACTGACTCGAGATTTCTTAAGAAAGCAGAACAAAGATCAGGTATCTTTACCTGACGATAAGTAAAAGGAAGTTGAAATTAAATTAATTGGGCCACAGACCCAACCCCCTCAAGGAAGAGCATTGTATTCAAGGGGAGTCATTATTTAAAATCTTTCAAGTTAAGGGTCAACAAGCCCAAATAATGTGAAAGTATAAGTGAATGGAGCAGATGAAATGGGAGGTGTAAGTGAATGAAGCAAAGACAATTTTACATTCAACAACATATAAAAAATGAAAATGTTACCTTTTACTGGTTAGGCACTCTGAACAAACTGAAAGAGCTGTGTGGTTTCTCATTCTAGAGTTCTCTGTGAGCTCAGAACACAGCGAGTCAGCCACAGATGGAAGGCCCCATTGTGAGGTCAGCAACTACAGCGGGTGTCGAGCCGGCCCTCTGCTACATGGCCCGTGAGCTAACAATGGCTTTGACTATTTTTTTAATGGGGGGGGGGACTTCAAAAGAATATTATTTCACAACAGAAGAAATCATCAAAAATTCAAACTTCAATGCCCATAATCAAAATGTGTGGAACCCTAGCCAGGTCACAGTGTACATATTGTCCATTCTTGCTTTCCTATTGCAAAAGTGTGTGCCAGAAAGCTGAAAATATTCACTCTCCGGCATCCTTTACCAAGAAAAAGTTGCCAACCACTGCATTTGCTAAACAGACTGTGGGGGAAAAGGGGAAAGGAAGGAGAGACATTTTAAACAGTTTTTCAAAGGTAAATAAATAAACCTGCTTATAGGGGCTTGGGTATCCTCCCTCAAATATCAGAAACGGGTTACAGGTATATAGTTAGACCTGACGTCTTCATCGGAGCGCTCTCGTGTCATGGAGATCACACCCACGCCGTGGCAACCTTTCTTACTGTAGCCCAAAATTTAGAAAAGATGTTACCCCAGAGCCCACAATGCAAAGCAGTAAGGAGAGTCGCTAGCTATTACAGATGCATGAGTGAAAGCGAGACAGGCAGAAAGGCAGGCCAAGTCAACCGGCAGGAGCCTGAAGAGACTAGTCTAATCGGAATTTGGCCACTAGTGCACCTGCCTGGCAGGTCCCTGGAGACCTGTGGACCAAGACCTCGCGAGCTGAGGGCAAGGTGGATGTGGAGCCTCGGGGCTAGGCAGCAAGGAAGTGGGGGGAGGAAGGAAGCATGTCTGGAATGGGGGGGGGACATCTGACAAAGCCTAGAATGTGCATTCGCCCTAAAGCCATGTGTGTATACAAGTGAACTCAGCCGAAGCAATGATTCTCAAACTGGTTTGCAAATGAATCACCTGAGTCGCTGGGGAAAATGCAGGCTCCGAATCAGTAGGTTTGGGGTGCAGCCCAGGCTCCCCTGTGCTGCTGATGCTGCTGGCCCAGGCGCGCATTTCAGCGAGCAAAGGAGCTGAGGTTGGGGGTGAGAGCCGGTCAGGGCACAAAGGGATTTGTCCTTTCAGGGCTCACCCCCAGAAAGTTATGTTCCCTCTTTCACTCAGGCCTCCTTACGCATGAAAGCCTTTCCTGCTTGGACGAATTTTACGATGCCCTAAAAATTTCAGAGGTGATTCCAAAGAATCTTCTCTCAAAGAGCAAAGATGGATGGGTTGCCATGGAGAATATACCAGCGAAAAGAATTAGTCTCAAAATGTAATCACAAACTGTGGAATTTCGAAAGGGTTTCAAGCAGCAGTAACATTTTTTTAAGGTACACATTTTTTATAAACTTTTGGATTTCGAAGGTTGGAAGCAGTTACAAAACACAAACAGGCTAACTTGGTCGAAAGCTCCCCCATGGCATGTAGTCCTCTGGCATGCCCGTATCATTTTCCCCCTCATTTTGAATTTCAGAGTAGGACACTTGTCTAAGTCCCAAGTGCTGAGAAATCTGAAAAATGGTTTTCATGAGCCACAGATTCAGTGGTGGGAATAGGAGATTTATCTGTAGCATAAAGCAATCGGCCCATCTAATTTCCTAAATCTCAGCCACAAACAACATGGAAAAAGGTCTGCTTTTAGCAGAGTTTAGCAGTTTTCGACCACACAACCGTCCGTCTTTTAAAGGGTAATGAGCGGTTCTCTGTGGCCAAGGTAAGCAGCCCCGGGCGCCCACATGCCAACAGGAAGCATTTCCAGGCGGGCACAGCCCAAGTGGCCCCTCCAAGCAAGTTGCCCCACCTCACTTTCAAGCTTATGACATAGCCTCGGCTACTATGCCATTAGCTGAGGGGAAAAGAACGCGAGGGTTAACCCCAAGGGCCCGACACACCTACAGTCTGAGACCATCTGCCCCCCTCTCCAAGATGTGTTAACTCTCTTTCACTGGAGGATGCTTTTAGCATCATATTCTCCAAGTACATTCATCCTCACCGAGAGTCATTAAAATAGTTGAATCGCCAGGCCTTGCAATCTTGGGAGGAAAACTCTGTTTTCCTTCCTATTCGTTTTTTTAGGCCGAATAGAAAGGCAGAGCTCTCATTTCACCCCACCAGTCAGTGGATTGGAGAGCAACCCTCTACCCTTAAAGGTGCACGCTAAAGCGTGGTATGTATTTTGTGAGCTGAATTTCATGAGTCACTCTGGCAAACATTCACAAAAATCAAATGGAAAGAAATCCCAGCAAGGTTTTGATCATGACACAAAATCTTTCCTCACCAAATACATGAAAGAGCCTGACATGAATTCATAAACACTCATTTTGCTACATGGAATGCATAAAAACTGCCCAGTGCAAGGGACTCCTCCAGTCACTCAAAGCCACTTTCTGCCCACTTTGCATTCTGGACTAGGCATGTTATTTCAGCCTCCGAAAGAGCAGCTTCTATTCACATTTTTAATCAAAACTAAGGGCGCTTTACCTACTAACAAAACAAGCAGCCCCCCCCCACCTCCTGCCTCAGGAAAAGGTTTGCCAGAATAAAGCACAAGAAAACTTCCCTGGCCTCCAGTGCCCCACTTACCCAGAAAGAGAACGGTGCCCAGCACCAGGGTGCCCCCGACGAACACAGCCAGGGCTATGCGCGTGCCCCGGCTTGCCGTCTTTTCAGTCTCCATGCTGTTCCCCGCTTCTGCTTCCATCGGGAGGGACGTAGAGGCCACGCAAGAAAAAAGGCACTTTTCCGGGCTTGGGGACTGGTCTCAAGAGTCTGTTAGGTGTTGACATCCAAGGTCCCCTCGCTTTTCTACTAGTAACAGCTTAACAAATTCCCTTCTGTTAATGTCCCCTTACTACCCTTTCTCAAATAATTCTTCACAAGTGAAATAGAAGATACTCAAAATATTAGTTGCCTTGGCTCTCCCCCTGACCAGACAAAACAAACAGCGGCCGCTTTATCTTGGTCTCTCTCTCAGCAAAGTCCCCCTCAACCAACTGTTCGGCAGCCTCTTCTCTCAGGCGCTCTGAGTGTGCGTGTTTCACTAGGTTGCCGAACAGATGTTTTAGCTATTTACATGTATAGTCGCTTGGGGAGGAAAAAGAAATTGTCTTTATCAAAACTGGATTCTCGGCAGACGCCCCCAACTCGTGATGAGTTAGGTGGCAGGATTCTCCAGAGTCGCCTCAACAGCTCAGTGAATCCTGGGATCTTTCTACAATCATCGTTCTGCTTGCCTGAATTGTCTTCATCAAAGATGTTCTTGCTGTCTGCGGGTCCCTTTTTAAAGCCTTCTAAGAGTCCCTGGGATATCCTGGAGCATTTTATTTTAGGAACTTTGTGTACGGCAGCGTGAGCCAGAAGCCAGAGCCCGGTGCAGAGCAAAGTAGCAATTAAGGCAACCTACAGAGGCCGCTGGTTTGGGTTGGAACTTTTTTTTTTTTCCAAGAGAAAAAAGGCACTTCCTCTCGTGGGGCTAAGAATTGCACAAAAGATGGGCAAGTGTTCGAACTAAGCTCAGGAGCAACCGTAGCAGACATGGTAGGTTTGGCCTGCATGTTTTGCTGGCACCAGGCTCGCCGCGGCAGCCTTTCTTGGTGTGTGTTTGTGCTGACACAAGGTGCCCGTGCAGACTGCCCAGGATGAGTGAAAAGGCCATTGGTTTCACCTGAAGGACTGCTTAGTGACCGGGTCCTTGGTTTCTTGGGTAACAATTTCTATTGTGAAAATCTGATTTCTTCATGGAGCAGGACAACATAGTCCAATGTTGCTGAAATGATATAGATTTTATTATACAGTGATAGAAGTATCATGAACTCACAGCACAATGACCACCTCCCTGGCTTTGCTTTTCTGGAGGTCACAGGACAGTGGGAGTGGGGGAGGGTAGAGGATGGATGTACATTTAGATGCCAGGAGAGCACTTTTCTCATGCCAAACACATGGCCATGGCCTGGGGGTGTCACTCCAGAGCTCAGTAGAGGCTGGTGAGTCCAGTATAACATGGTCACAAGCTCACAATCCTACCTGGCTACTTGAGATTCTCCCAAGCTGCCTTGGGCCTCTCCCAAGGTTTTAGGCTTAATATATAACAGATCCTACGTTATTTTCTGTTCATTTCATGTGACTCCCAAATCAGAAGAACCCAAGCTTTTGTAGTGATTATGACATCATGGTAAGCTGTAGGTATTACATGCTCTTTGGCTATTGGCATTCATTTTTTGTTCTTATTCCATAGCACATCCTAGCAGACGTTGGCTCTTAGGATGGGATTCTCCCAAGAGTTTGTGGGCTTGACTCCATAGTATTTCTTATCTGAGTGCCTTATCAGGAGTCACATCCACCAAGTTCAATGCTGTAGCCCCAGAGCTCCAGTTCCTGGCCCACAGTAATAGTAGATTAAAGGACTATGAAAATCATGCAAGTTAACCCTAGCCACTTGCTCTTAAAAAGCAGCTTCAGGCCCTCCCTGGTGGTGCAGCGGGTTAAAGCACAGCACTGAGAAGTTAAAGCACTGCACTGAGAAGCTAAAGCCACTTCCGCATGAGTTCGATTCCCGCCTGCCCCAGAGGTGACCACATGGCGTGGCAGACCTCTCCTGACCCGCCCGCTGCTCCCCTCAGCAGTGTACTTCGTCGATCTGCCTGTTCTGTTCCCCGCTCTGTCTCTGATGAAGCCTCTCACCGCCCCTGCACCTCTGGCCTGTACCCCAGTTCTGTGTGTACAAATAAATAAATCTTAAAAAAAAAAAAAAAGCAGCTTCAGGAACCTCAGGCAGCAGTGTCTGGGGTCTTTCCATCTTCCACTTCCTTCTAGATGCTCAAACGATGATGCTTCCCACGCTCTCGCACCCCCGTACCCCACTGCGCTCTCGTGGTTAGCGTAACATACCTGACAGCAAAGGTACTGTTATCTGCTTTGCAAATGAGAACACGGAGCCAAAGGACTGGCAGGGGACAACATGGGGCATCCAGGAAACAAAAGGTTGGTGAAGGGGGGGTCACTGCCTTGCAGTGTGGCTTGACCAGTCTCCCTGTACATAGGGGAGCAGCGGACACCAGGACCCACTGCCTCCTCACTCCTCCCTTCAAATCTCCGCACCTTCTTCCAGCTCCAGACTGAAGTGAAACGGAGGCTGTAGGTTGCCAAGTGGGTCGCCTTCCCTGCGCTTGGTCTGGCCATTCCCCCGACGTAAGGGCTATGGGGACCTGCCCTGTGCACCACTCACCAGGGATTCATTCTCGAACACTCAACTGCTAAGTGAAAAGCCATTCAACCAACGTTCTCCTATTAATTGTATGCTGCACCCCATCTCAAGCTAAGACACGCAAACACTGGAAAAATGGATTAAACAGTGAAAAAAAGTTTGCAAATGTAATAAACAAGTCTCAATATGTTGAAAATACCTTGCTCACATAACGCAATGCTGTGCGGGTTTATTTACTCACCGAAAAGAATAAAGGGAGGCATAGAAGAAAGGCCTCTGGTGAGTTAGTCATTATAAGCAGTGTTCATGGTGGCCCATTTTCTGTATTAATTTTTCAACTTTTTGGGAAACGGATGGTTACCTTGTGCTTAAACTGCACTTAAAAATAAAGCTGTAGCACTGAAAAAAAAAGTTCAGAGCAAAATAAAGTAGTTCAAAGTGCAGAGAAATAATGAGGCCCCACAGCGGACCACAGAAAGGGCTGTGGAGCAGGGCACGTAGGCCAGACCTTGCGCGCCGCCTGGTTTGCACGCAACATTGGATCAAAGTCATGGCCCTTCATTTACGTTTCCTTTATGATTGCTTTCCTGCTACAAGCTCAGAGCTGAGTCGTTTTATGGCCTGAGAAGCTTGAAAGCTTTACTCTCTGGCCTTTCACTGAAAATGCTTCCTCACCCCCAGACTACTCCGTGGAAGATGTTGCTTCCTCACCCCACCCCCAGTCCATGACACAAAGCAAGGCGTTCATCCACACTTAACCCGCGTCTCGAACTCGTCCCATTCTGTCTTTGAATACATACCCTTATGATGGGGACATCAGTCAGTGTGCCTTTGCCTAACACTGTAATGCTGAAACTACAGCATATCATGTAGTGAAGTTAAAATTTGTCAAGAGCTCAGGCCCTCCCTGGTGGCGCAGCAGGTTAAAGCACAGCACTAAGAAGCTAAAGCCGCTTCCACATGAGTTCGATTCCCGCCCGCCCCGGAGGAGACCACATGGTGCGGCAGACCTCTCCTGACCCGCCCGCTGCTCCCCTCAGCAGTGTACTTCGTCGATCTGCCTGTTCTGCTCCCCGCTCTGTCTCTGGTGAAGCCTCTCACCACCACTGTACCTGTGGCCTGTACCCCAGTTCTATATGCATAAATAAATCTAAAAAAAATTGTCAACAGCTCTAACAACTCGCTAACTGAAAGTTTACGCTGCGGGTAAGGCTGTCAATAGCATGGCTGGCACCCACTTAAGAAGTCTAGAACGATCTGGAGTCTGAACTAACTAGAGTCCATCAGTGAGGCAGCACAAATTTCTTAAGACTTCTTCAGATGCCTGGCCCCATGCAAGACCCGGAAGGCAAAGGAGCCATTCTGGAGGTTCTGGACAAGAGACAGAATTTAGTCACGAAAATATGCGACGCCCTTGGCAGCCTGCACACAGTTCACTAAAGTCCAGTGAGTGTCCAGAGAAAGGAAATCCCTGTGCAGTAGGCTTGTTGGGAAGACTTCCAGGAGGACCTGCAAGGAAGGCCAGCTTCAGAGAAAGAAAGAAAAAAATGGCTTCTGGGTGGCAGAAGCAGACATGAAATGTGACTTGTGTGGCCAGTTAGGGCTCTGCCTCGAGCACGCTCAGCTCCCACAAATAATGGAAGCCCGCAACCTCAGGCTGCCTCGGGGACCGAGTGACGACCTAGGGCAAGTCTTTACGCTGGCCGGAGCGCGTGTGCTCGTTATTTGGATGTGCGCAGTCCTCTGTTTCAGGCAGTAAAATCCCGCGTGGGCCACAATTTCAGTGAGCAAGAAGGAAATGATTCAAATCCTGAAAAATGTATTCATCCATCCACTGAGGGTGGAGAGCGGGCAGAAGGGAAGTGAGCAGGGGAGAAGAGCTAAAAGCTCCAACTCAGAGCTGGGGGCTGTGATTTGCTGGCTGGTCCCTCAGACTGGGGGGCGGGGGGGAGTTTCCAGTCCCAGGCCTTCGCTAATGAGGCTCATGACTTACATTATATCGGATCTTTTGAAGCATCTTTCTCAGCTAGGTGTTTATTTCCTTCCACTGATGAGAAACTGAAATTTGTAACTATGGAGTGATTTGCCGAAGGTCACACCGCAGGTATTTGTCTTAAGGGTGAGGAATTTCAAATTCCATCCTTTCCTCTCTGCCAGGTCACTAGATAAGTTTGCTTATCTGTGGCAGCTAATTAGCGAAGGTAGGTGTAGCATGTCAAAATGACACTGGGCCCCAGGAAAAGCCATCAACTATGCTTCCTCTAATTATCTCATTGAGAAGAGACTAATCATCAGGTTTATTTCCTTAACTGGACAGAGACCATCACTTACTATGAGGGAGGGGACCGGTGTTCAGCAGTTGGCCTGCACTCCTACCTGAGTGCCAGAGGACAAAGCCCCCCCAACCCTGGACTCCTCGACACCCCCCTCCAGATGCCCCCCTTCTCCAACAGCCGTGCTTCCCAGAGGGGGACACGTCCCCCCACCTCGGCGGCCTCCACAGCCATGTGATCAAGATGCTTCGGGCCCCTCCCCTTCAGGCTAGCTGTGCACCCAGACCACCCCAAGCAGCTTCACGCTGCACCAGGTCACGAACCGCATGGACAGCCCTTCCCCACCTCCTGTACACACGCCCATGGGCTGGGTGGCGGGGGACCAGCAGTCCCCCAGCACCACCAGCTCAGGGAGCCCTTTGACCCCAT